ATGCTGAAAAAAGTGAAAAAACAGCATAAATTCCCTAAAAGTGTCCCGATCATGCTGATTTTCGAACTTGACCTGCGTATTATGAATATTCATCAGTTCTGTAAGTTTCAAGTCAAAAGGTAAAATGGTTTTCCACTTATCGTGTTATCGGTAAAAGTGCACGGCGACGGCGACGACGGCGACGACAGACGCAGATGATGGCTATATGTACAGACACATCTGTGTCTGTACATAATAATTTATTAAGATTGCAACCCATTGAAGTTGTACACACAATGTCACTAGTGTCACATCTAACACATTCTTTAAAAATCTTCCTTACCTTCTTTGTGGACTTCAGTATGATATAGCTTGGTGTGCTTTGGTATAGACATTTTAACTATCACAATACTTAGTATAGACCCCGACGCTGCCACAAAGGCAGCAAATTGTTCTCTGCAAATGAAACAACAGAATTATTGTGAACATAAAGGAATGAAATAAACTGAGCAAAACAAACAAACAAACAAAAAATATTCACAAGTAGACAGGGGGCTGTAGATTAACGTCTTAAATTAATACATTAGTCTTGTCGAGTGTGGGGATCTACTTCGTAAACAAATGCAAGGCCATTATGCTGTCAATCTCTGTGGACTGCTGCAGGCTTTATCAATTAAGTACATGGCAAAGGCCTTAATCTACTCCTGTGACATTTCATTGTCTCATTCTAGACTTACCCAAATGCTTTGGTTAACACTCCTCCAACGAGTGGCCCTACTATGAAGCCGATGCCATAGGAAAGTCCCAGCTTCCCAAGTGCGTCTGATCTCTGCTTTTCTTCAGACATGTCTGTTACCACCATCTGCCCACCTATGGGGATTTATGACTGGTTTATGACTGGGTTCATTGATTTAAGGCTGTATTCCCAGAGCTTTTAGATCGATCTATCCCCATGGGGAGTCTCACTAGATTACTGTCAGATAATCCGGCTTAAATGTCCGTCCTGCCTACTACAAGCTGTAAGGGGGTAATTAACTTTCGTGTCCACTCGGCTGACAGTTATTTAACGTGAACCCCCAGGGAGTTAGGTCGATCTAAAGTAGATCAATCTAATCTCTGGAAATGGGGTGTAAGACTGGATAAACTGATTTAAGACTGCCTAAACCGCTTTAAAAATGAGTTAAACATTTTAAGACTGAGTTTCTTAATTCAGCCTATGTCACAGTTTACCACATCTAAGACTTGACTGTGTAGTTTACTGATTTATGACATAGTTAAATGCTTAAAGATTTAGATATCTTTAGTAAATGAAAAAATATCGAGTTATCTTTGAAAAAGTATAAAATTGAAGGTTTTACGAGGGCACATAGTGCCCAAAAGTGAACAATTAATAATTCAAGACAGATGTGAGAGACAACACATAGAACAATTTAGCACACAATACTACACGTTCCAATATCTTCAAGTCTACTGAATTTAGTCTGTCAGATATTAACACAAGCTTACCTTGCATAGCATGCATGAAGACAGAGGGCAGCCTGGACAGGAACAACATGGGTACTGTAAACGACATACCCAGGATCAAGTAGGAGAGAGCGGCGGAACTGAAGGCTAACACCAGCGCTGCCTGCCCTCCATATAAATCACCATACCTAAAGGAAAGATGAAGAGATAAATGCACTTAAAGATGCATACCACGTCAAATTTTTGTCATAAAAACCAACCAAATGCCAGCATATAGTTTCAAGCAGTATAACTAAGAGAATTACCAAAAGGCATTGTTTAATTTTACCCAAAAATGATGTTTGAACGGATTATTCTGTTGGCATTCTAAGCTGTATGTCAATGGGGCAGGAAAGTAGGTCACGAAAGTAGGTTAAATTTACAACCAAAAACTTAAAGAAAGGAGCAGTCTAAAGGTCTTTTTTGGCTGATCAAGTGATCTGTTCAGTTATCCCTTGGCATGTCGAATTTATTTGAGTCATATAAGAATCTAGTAGAAGTGGTTTACAAGTGTCACTGGGAATCCACGTTCCACCGATGCTCGGTTCATATGTACCTTTAATTATAAAGTTTTAACTTACGATTATGTAGGAGAGTGGACGGCTTCTAGTACAGGACTGAAGGCTAATGCAAGTTGCCATACTTATAGGTAAACAAAGACATGAACACAGTAAAATACATGTGGGTAATAAGTTTTGATCAGGTAGGTGACAGCTACAAGTACCTTTGATTTTATCATCTGCACTGGGAAATGTACCGGTAAATTGTACATGAACAGGAAGGTAAACACACACATATGCATATGAACAGTAACAGAGACACAAAAGTACACTCAGAGTGACCCCCCACAAACACAAACACACACACACAGGCATTGCTAGGTACATAACTCACCTTCCAAACAGTGGTCCTCCACAGAGCTGTACGATGGCAAACGTGGTCTGAAGATAGCCAAACACTGCTGGGTCCACCTCAAACTTCTTGATTAGATACTGAAAGAAAGAGTAATAAGTCTAGTTTTGATACCTCCATAAAATATTTATAACCATTTTGAGGCAAATCAATTATAAACTGATTGTGAATAATTAGTAATCACAAATATAATTATCGACGTCTTTATTATGAGGCAAAAAAAAAATAAATAAATAAATGATTGAGATTCCAACACAAAAAGGGATCCCCCAATAACTACTCACTCACCGGCATAGTCCCCTGTTGTATCCAGAAAAAGACAGAATACAGTACTATATTCGCATGCACGGCGAGCACCACGTAGTTCACGCTGCGACCAAACAGGTTAATCATGAAGGGAGCCAGGGCATTCTTCTCCTCTTTAGGGTCATGTTGATAATTGGCATCATCTGGGCCCTTCAAATAATGAATATGCAAAATCTGATGATATTTTCTAAATTGTGAAAAAGATGTGTGGAATCATTTGGCTTCTTCTGGATGATGTGATGTGATGATAAAGTACCAGTATGGCATTTTATATTTATATATTTCAAGTTTGTTTGAACTTGAATTGAAAAGGATTCTACTGAGAGATAAAGAAACTTTTTTTTTGTTATACTGTACAACAGCAAATCTACAAATTTTTATGACTAATGAAGAAGATCAAATATAACTTTCCCACTTAACTCACAAAACTTGCTATTTGGTACTAAAATTTTACCTAATGGAAACCTACTGGAACAAACTACTTGTAGGAAATCACTTTCTCTCAGTCTTTTAGTTATTTTGTATTTTTTTTTTTCGTTTGCTTAATAGACTATAATTATGAACACACCACACCTCACCTGGTATAGCTCCTCATACAGCTCAGTAGTGTCCTCTGTGAGGTCCATGGCACGCAGAGACTGGTCATGGTGAGCCGTCATCTTGGGCCGCTTACTCATCTTCTCTGTGATGGTGATATTCACCGAACCAATATCACTATTATCTACAGATATAAATGGATCCAATTTGAATCTTTATAGAATTAATTAAGGATAGGTATGGGTATTTGGGTTTAAAGTATAGGTGAATGGAAGAGTGCATAAACATAGACTGAAGGTTCATTGGTCCAAATGTTCACTATAGAATGTGTGGACAAAGGAAACCTTTTATTCAAAAACTGATGAAAATGATGCTATTTTTCAGAACAATGAAACTCCAGACCACTAAATTTTCAGACTATTGAGATGCACCCAAATGGAAAAACTAATAGGCACAGAGACATACAGGCTAATGAGTAAATGAATTGTGTAAAATTGCAGGAATATTTTAATACAATAATTTATTCACTTATTAAAGTTTTTATTTATTTATTTATTTATCTATATACCTTATCAATTTAAATTGTGTTCAACGTGGCATTTTATGTTCAAATTACAGTATGTGGATTCATCCACCAATAAAGACAACACCTGTAGACTGTACATATGTGTTCTACAGTACAAAGTTCAACAGTCCGTGAAAAATATATGCAATGGTCGACTATGAATCCTTATATAATGCTATATACATGTACTAAGCAAAGGCTCGTGGTTAAAGAGACAATATTTCAAGTTTAAGTCTTGTCTTTGGCTAAGAACCACACCCCAACAATACTGCACTTGTGCTGCAATGTTTGTCATTATCTGCAACATGTTAATTACTTATGTAACTTCCGGTGCTGTTAGCATTACTGCTGCCAGCTGTAACTGTCTACACAAAAAATGCGGTTTGTTACTTATGCAACAAACAGCAATGCTTCATTACGGTTTTTGTAACTTAAACCACTCGTGGCTTCAACAGAAAACTCTCCTTGCTGCATTACACCTCACATGTTCGTAAGTGTTCATAATACTGAAAATTAGGGTTAAATACATACGTTAAGGCTGAATACGTCGCGTCACCGTTCCATTTCCTGGCTTCAAGCTTAAATAGGTCGATGGTTACTCTCTAACCCACATTTTTACTTTATCAAGTTTTGAACAGCACATTAATTCACTAAATATAAACAGCAAGTTAATACAGTGGACAAATACACCTAAATAGCAACTTATTGCAAGATTTTTGATCAAAGTATTTGATTAAGCTATAAAGTACATAGCTGCTGTGATTAAGGAGACTAAAAGATGACCTTGGCATTATTACAATGGGGCACACCCCCTTCTCGTGAACCTGCAGATACAATATAGGCATTGAGTATTGAAGAGAAATTTTAAAAGTGCTCAGAAACGTTGTCAGTATCATATTGTTATGTAGATCCATTTTTTCATTAATATTACATTCATAATCATTATCATCATATAATTACATATTTAATTAAATGAGTGTTAATTTTTGCTTCCATCTATATCACGGATATTAGTATGCATCTAAATAGGTTTCAAAATTAAATTTAAAAAAAATTAAAATTTAAATAGACCTAAATATCAAATGCATGTTGCAATTTCCAAAGAAGTGGAGGTTGTTTCAATACGAACTTTTATCAATGAATTCACCTTGCACGTCTCTTATACAGTGTACGTACATGTAGGCCTACCCTCTACCAGGGCCACAGTTAGACCAATTATTGTGGACATTTTTGGCTGAAGCGACATCAGACCAAATGACTGTTTATTTATCTAGAGACATAGCTGTGAATATCTGTGAAAAATCAATCTGTCGCCCTGGTAGAGGGTAGTGTACATACCAGTACAGTATACATGTAGACCCCCTAACTCTCTCTCCCCTCCCTCGCGCTCCTTTCCCTCTCAATCTCCCCAAGGATAAAGGCGAAATACAGTAAAATTTTAATCTAGTTGTCATGAAACACGTCTTTGCATGGATTCCTGGGGCTGATCCAGGATTATTTGAAGGGGGAGGGGGTGTCTGCGGATCCAGGATTATTTGAAGGGGGGTTGAGGATGAGAAGCCGCCCCGCCCCCCCCCCCCCCAATCCCCCATTGACGTGGGTTTGGGGGCCCGCTGAAGGGACCTTTAAATTTTTGGTATTTTAAAGAGTGAATGATGCCATTTGTTACGTACGGTTCAGAACTATAATTCATATCTAGTCAAAATTCTCATTTCAAGAGGGGGCCATAGGTATGATTTTTTTTCAGAAATCTAAAATCCAATAAACCCCCCCCCCCCCCAAAATTCGCCAGTGAATGGAAGTAGAAGGTCGAGACACAACTTTGAAATCTGCATGTGCACAATCTTAACAGTCTTCATGCAGCCTCTTGGAAAATCCTTGTTGAGATCGAAAGTCTGAACTGCATTTATTCTTTATTATTAATATTAATTTTTTATTTTTATTTATTTATGTATTTATTTTATTTCATTTTATCGATGTTTATTTATGTGTATTTATTTATTTATTTATTTATTTATTTATTTTTGTTGCTTCAAGTGTCATGTACTTGTACTTCCCACTTAAGCCTAATACAAAAGGTATGTACCGGGGTAGACTTACGTAAAAGTTCGAAAAGTGCCGGAAACCAGCGAAGTGTGTCATTGCGACCCGTGAGTTGAGAAACAATGTGACCTGCCAAGAATGTGCCCTGTACAACCACCTTTTATAGTAATTTAGTTACTTGATTTGTATCGACATGTATCAAGAAATACTACCACGTTTGAAAAAATTCTCTCCATGCCGTGGAAAGCTACTCGACAATTTCCAATTTAAACCTCAATATTTTAAATGAAATAAAGGTAACTTATGTCGATAGTTCCCGCTTTAATGCACAGTAAAGACTGACACTAGAAATGGTATAATTAGAAATGGTAAAAAAAAAAAAACATCAAATCAAAGTGTAAGATAGCGTCAATCATTGATATGTGAGTACAGAAAAATGTTCTTTTTTGTTTCAGTTTTTCCAAGAAAATACGATTTACCGTGAAATCCCCAAGTGGATACCCATATTAAATCAGCATTGACTTTATTAAGTGAAACTTGCCAATTTGAGGGGAAAAATCGTACGGTAAGGTTGCTATTTAGAGTACTCTACCGTACTTTCGGCTACGAACTTCCCCGGTACTCAAACAGTCTACACAAAAAGCATTACCTTACGCCAAAAGGAATGGAGAGCCATCGAGCGTAAAACGTAAAGATTAATAAAGCAAGCTGGTTATTTGAAAGTGCGGTTTACTGAATTGTTTACCTGTAGAGTACACACTGGCGTACAGTGATCGGCGGCGGACCAAAGAGGTCACGGAAACAGGTGAATGGGTTCTGGGGTGAACGTATTAGTTAGGGCTACATCTAGGGTCACAGGGCAAATTGTCTGAGCCTTTTCGCTTTTTCCTCTAGATCTTGGCAAATCAACGGCAATGACATACCGTGCTTTAATCACATTTAAAGGGATAGATGACTTGACATTAGGCAATTGACGTGATAATTTTGTGTGTGTTTATCTATGATCAGGACAGACTGCCCAGGGTATCTGTACGTGTGTCGGGCGTTGAACCGCAGATGAACTCCAAACATCGGCCGTGACGCAAGCGTTAATTGTTGTAAAGACTTGATGGTGGCCTGTATGTGTGAACTCTGCGTTACAATACATGTTCCAACTTCACAAAGTACACAGGATCCTTGTGTATCAATCCTGAAAACTGCATGAGTATCTCCTTTAATATTTTTATAAACTCGATTAAAATTTTAGAGAGAAAAATTGGACGGCCATTTGGGGAAGAGACGAGCAGAACAGCGTGACGAGGAGTTGACGCTCATCTGTGAGATGGATCTAGTCTGAGATAAAAGTTGATGAAGTGGGCGCCGATGCAGAACATTTTCAATTAGCATGACCAGGACAACGAAATTGGACTGTCATTATTCTAATTATTTGCTGTATTAACGTTGCTGAAGACAGGAGAAGAACAAGGACGGCAAAATACCACTGAAAACAGTTAAAACATACAGCGTAGTGGACACATGCATGTTCGCGCTAATCTCTAGATCTACCGGCTCTGTTCACGTCTTTTTATACCTGTTAGTGAATAGTACGGATAGTGTGTACATTGGGATGTTGAGAAGAAGACGACAATTTTGAAAAAAAAAAAAAAAAAAAGAATTCAAAAAGTGCATGGAAATTTTTGAAACGTCTCTATAAGTAAATAACTGTCATTGCAGACACTTTCCACACACACGGGAACTGCAAAGAGGAACAAGCAAGCAAGTCCCAAACAGCCTTGTCATTGCTAACCGTACAATTCCATGACAGCTCAGCCCGCTGGTCTTAACATTGTTTCCGATTTAAAAATGGCATCAGCTCGCGACCAGCCGGTCATTGCCTCGGTCACTTATAGGATGCAGTCGGCTGTCATTCTGGACCCGAGAGATGAGGAGGAAGATTCAGCTGAGGAGGTTAGTAATTAGGTGGAATTGCCAGATTGGTGTGTGTGTGTGTGTGTTCGTGTGTGTGTGTGTGTGTGTGTGTGTGCGTGTATGCTTTAGAGAGAGAGAGAGAGAGAGAGAGAGAGAGAGAGAGAAGGCATGTAGCCAGCAATAAAAAAAAATTCTGAAAAAAGGGACCTTCCACCATGACAACTCGTGTACCAAGATGTTTTTTTACGGAGCTTTCCCCTGCAAAGGGTGGTTCCAAACCCAAGCCCCCACCTCCACTCCGCGAGAGGTCTCAATGGAGAGAGAGAAAGAGAGAAAGCACTCGAGAGAAAAAAATCGCGCTTGAAGAGATTTACTTTAATCATACAAATAATGCTTAACAATAACAATCAGAATAAAAAGAAATGTTATACTTAAAATGGCCAACAGTCGAGCCTAGTGGAAGTTAGCAGCTCTGTTCGCCGGTTTATTTTCAATCTAAAGGCCTAAAGTGGTCGTGTTCTCTGCTTTACCTCTTGTACACCTTATCAAACCGTACGAGGTAGCTTTACGTAACTCGACCTAGTTCCTCTTTGTCCCCGTGCGCGTAGGCCTACACTGTATATATGTCTCTTGCCACAGGAATTCAGTTATTCTTTCAAACACCCGGCTGGCAGTGGGTGTAATTAATTTATATATATATATATATATATATATTTTTTTTTTTTTTTGTTTTGTTTTCCCTATTTTCTTACTACGATTTTCTGTAGTTAATTTTGTGTAGATCGATAAAGTTGATTTGACCTGCCATAGTTAAATCTGGGAAAGCAATTAAATAGCCTGCATTGGTATACGTAATCCGTATTGTAGTGTGCCTTTGATATAATAATAATAATAATAATAATAATAATAATAATAATAATAATAATAATAATAAATAAATAAATAAATAAATAAATAATTTAATTAATGAATGAATTAATTAATTAATGATCGATTGCCAAAGTGAAGAGCTAATGATGATATATAAATTTCTTTATTTTATCTGTTTTATATAAAAATAAGTTCTTCCAAAATTTGGAACCAGTAAACTTTAAGTAAGCCATGCAGTTAATACTAATTAACCTGCTTAATTAGTTAAAAGTTATGTATATGTTAACTGATACATCATCATTTAAAAATACTGCAACGTCATTGATCTTTGCCTCCTGATGATAACTTAAAAGACCTAACAAAACACGAGACCAGCATTCGACAAATATGATGACACTCACACGTAATTTATCAGTCACCTAGTTCACGTCATGATCGCTTTGGTTGTGGACTGTCTTGTCCACTTGACTCCAAATCGAGACTGGGCAGAACACATGTCATGTGATTGTCAACTTTGAACCGAGATAGAACCATGGTAAGTTTCTTCCACAGCTTTCTAAAACTGACCACTTAGAGTGAAACCAAATTTATAATTTCTTACATGTGAACGCAGCGCCTGTGACTGTTAATAGGGGTTAGATCTCACTTGTTTTTTTCTATCCGAAAACCGGGTTTGAAAGTAGAGTTAATTTTTGACATTCTCGACTCAAGTTGTAAAAGTGCTGACCGGTATTGGGTATGCAGTGCTATCAGTGATCTGTTGCCTTGCATCTAAAAAGGGTGCAAGTCAACGTTCCAGTGTTTATAAAACTGTCTTAAAGTGTACACTGTCTTAAAGTGTACAAAGTAATATATATATTATAGGTGGTGGTTTGATCAATGGGTCATGTGTATATTATGTCGTATTGTTCTTCTTATCTTGAAACGTCACAATTTACAGAATCAGATGACTTCAACTCCCTGATATTTTTCATCGTCATGTACACTGGACACAGTAGCATATCATATGAATGTATTGTTATATATATCATTACTCATTTTAGACATTTAGCATTTGATAGATAATGAGGTTAGGGTTACTAAGATGGCCCATGGTGTAGCTAGATGAAGGTTTGGATGTGTGTGTGTGTGTGTGTTTCATTGCATCCGTATGTTTGTGCACACATATTTTTCCACAAAACACTGAGCATTGTGTCGTCAGCCTGAAATATAGGAGTGGGGTTGAGGGGGGAGGGGTCTTTTTCTGAAATTTATCCACAGATATTATTGCTTATATAAGTTTTTGTGTAAAAAGGTGTTTGTGGTCCAGTCAACAAGAAAAAGTGCACTGTGTGACAGCACATTGGTGGTATTATACACGCTCGGCTGTCACCTTGATTGGATAGTAAACGGTTGTCGTAAAATCGCTAAATGATATTAAAACCCGGTGCATAAAGTTGAAAACCACCTAGGACAACCTTAGACTGCCACATTAATCCAATACAATGCAAAAATAAACTATAACAAGTGGTTAAAGCCTTCAAACCGAATGTCGTAAAGTCCCCATATACCTCCATAGAGACAATAAAATATAGTAAGCTTCTGAAACAAGAAAAATCCAGTTCCAACATAATAATCGAAATAAAATACTGCCGGGCATCGGAGCGGCCTAAAACTTGGCACGCTTACCGCTAATACTGCAGGCTACATCATCCCGTCGCTCGTTTGTAAATTCCGTGCATGGCATACGCACAATCAAACCGTATATCCAAATTCCATCTCTGATGTTTGAATTAGTCCTCTCTACAATCCAATTCAGGAAATGACGTAACCGCAGAGGTCGCATTGTCCAATGGCATGGCTTATTTTTCGTAAGCCCGGTGTACGGTGACCTCTGCGGTTACGTCATTTCCTGAATTGGATTGTAGAGAGACAACCGTTTACTATCCAATCAAGGTGACAGCCGAGCGTGGTATTATAGCAGCTTGTTGTAAAATATCTGGTAAATTTCTGCCTAGAAAAGTCAAATTTCCCCAAACCACAAGTCATTGTCTAGTCTTAAGTCAGGGCAGAAAATAGTAAAGCTTTATAGGATATGTAGACCTATGTAAACATAGAAAAATCCAAATTTGGGTCATTTTCGGATGCTGATTATGTATATTTTTACCTCAAAGAAAAGAGGTCATTCACAGTTCAGTAGTTACCTACAGGGACGTTAGCAGGTAGAAGTTAACCAAATAATGGTTCAACTTGTTCGGAGCACGCTTTTTTGCCATGACCATGTGGAGACATTTGCTTCAAGGCTAGCTTACATCAGTGTCATTTAGACCTTGGCACAAGATTTAGAGGGAAGATAACTTTACTGTGCCAGAAGTGGAAGATTCATTACTGTATCGTAAATCACTGCTATAACTTGTGTCCAGTTAACCTTATATCATACCCTCTGGCTCAGGATGTATGGAAAATGAGGGGAGTGGAGACGGTGGGGGGGGGGGGGAGAGGTGGTCAGGGCAGTTTTTTAATTAATTAACAGACTTGTCACATTATTGCTGTGATTAAGGTGATCTGAGAATGAATATATATGAAATGGTTATCAGTATATACTGACATAGACTGAAGTTTGTCCAAAATGGACACGTTTTGGTATATTTTAGCTTTTTGACAGATCTGAGCTAGATGTGATACATACAGTATCAAATAAACTTTAATTTGTAATAGGAAGTTTGAACTCATATTTTGATTTTGGATGTTAAAAAAAAACTAAAACATACGGAGTTCAGTTGAATAGAAATGATCTTGCAGTATTTGGACTGTAGATCTGTTGTTCACCTGCACCCAACCTTAAGGTACAGGAACCTACGAGAAGGCAAGAAATGGGCTTTTCTTATCTTCACAGAAGTATCAACATTTTATCAACAGACTTCCTTATGGTGTGACGCTAAGAGTGGTCCTTTGACCTTATTTATAGACGTGATGCTGATATGTTTTATTTATATTATTATTATTATTATTATCACTTATTGTTGGTGGCATCCCTGTGCACTTTACACTGTTAAGGCAATAAATGGAAACAGTTTGTATTATTATGCTCAAACTTACTTGATTGATTCATAGCACTGAAATATGAGTCATCCTCAAACAGCACCTTTTTGGCCCTTTTTTATTTTCAAATTGTGAGAATTATGCTTAGGTAGTTTATTCTTCTCATCTAAGCGTTTCGACCCACTGTGGAATTAATGGTGTTCAATACCGATACATTAATGCATTTATTTGGTGAAAATTTTAATATATACCAGTATGACTAAGGATAATGAATGAGACCTTTGACTTTGTTGTGACTTAAGCCAAGTAAGACACAGATAGCGACTGGGTTGACTTGTATAGTTTGTGCAATCACTTCCAAGCAAACACATAATACCCTAGGTAAATATATGATATCAGATAAGAAAGGAGACATAGTCATGAAAACTAGTAAGTGATACTAGTATAATTCTTATATTTTAGATAGGGGCATTGTGGTTTCAGTGTACCTTCATATGTTTGATTGGCTTAAGTACTAGTGTGTGTGTGTGTGTGTGAGAGAGAGAGAGAGAGAGAGAAAGAGAGAGGTCAAGAAAAAGACAGAATTTTATTGTCCAGGCTTCCAAATAGTTGTCTGATGTCTTATTTAATCATTTTGCTAAGTTTATTTTTTCTAATCATTTCCCTAGGCAGCAGCAGAGAAGAAGGAGCACCTGTATAAGATTTTGGTAATAGGAGAGCTTGGCACAGGAAAAACCAGTATTATCAAAAGATATGTTCATCAGTTCTTCTCACAGCACTACAGAGCTACTGTATCCTTTTATCATGATGCACACTGGATGTGCCACTTACGTTAATGGTTATTTACTCAATTTAACATCTTCATCTCATTGGCACATAAGGTATCAACCTCACCCTGGCACTGAGCCTCCTCTTCCTTGTTTTTGCCTGGCCGTTGCCACTTGATAGGTCCATCTCATTTATTTCAGTTCATTTGTCAGTGTTTAGGGCAAGGCAGTTATGCGTTTCAGAAAATCACATAAAGTGTCACAACGCATTCTCTGTCACGACCGACTCAATGTCACATCTACCACACTGTCACAGCCATCTCATTNGGCAGTGTTAGAAACTTGGTTAGAAAGTATTTTATTTAAAAAAATCCATTTCATGTCAGGCAAGTATTCCTCTAGCAATTCTTTTGTTTCCAGGCAAGTATTAGATATGTAATGTATATATCTTTAACTTAATTTGGCTAATTTATAGCTGGTTGCTGATGAACACCTTGGATGATATAAATAAAGAGTACTGTTAGATATCTAGCTAAGTATGACTTATAATCTAGCTGCCTGACTACAGAAATCATTAACACCTGGCAAGTAACGTCAGTACTATTAGGAATGTTTAGTTGTAGATAGAAAAAACTTCTACTACTTATTGAAATTAAAAGGTTACAGGTTAGGGAACCATTGTGATTATCAAATAATTATATTTTATTTTTATTTGTACCTCAGCATGCATTAATCTCAGTGCCCTGTGTAAATCTTCAGTTGAAAACAGTGCATCGGTACTCTGTGCACCCTAGTGCAGTGCCATATGAAACATATAACAGCAATGAATCTTCGTTGTCTGGTCATCAGCTAAAGTTGCTATCTGACGTTTGCATCTTTAGCTGGAGGGAACCAGTCACTTGGTTACATCATTATAGAGTACAATGAGGAAGCCCCTCAGGTGAAAACGATGTGTTAGAATACCCAGCTGTCATGTTGGTCATGAGCTGGCCTGTCTTGGGGGCAGGGGTGTGGTAGGGGGCCTAGGGCTCGGGGGGTTTAAATCATATAGAGCATAAACCTGTCTCTGCTTGACATGGAATTCTTCCTGTCATCTTGAAGTAGGAAAATTTTGGCTGTGATGTGAATAGTCAACATATTAACTTACTAAGTGTATGTAACTGTCTGGGGTGTGGAAAAGGGGGGGGGGGGGTGTGAGCAAAATGCCCTTTTGGCCAGGCTGGAAAAAAATTCTTTCCACACTGGGTTGTACTTAAGATTTAAAAAAAAAACAACATTATAATCATAAAAAAATAATGAAGGAGTTGTCTGAATGATACGGCAGAATGAGGTTTGCAAATTGACTTACTGTGTACTAGTATTTACAAGATGTAACTGTCACATGTCACTTATTGGTTAAATGATCTGTAAACTAAAATCTCATTCCCAATGAAACATAGATCGATCCAACTCCGCGTGGATTCTTGCTGAATGCGATGAGATGAACAGATTAACACGCCGCCTCCTGGCGTTGAGTAGAATTACAGAAAAGCTGGTGATTCTATGAGGATGTTGGAAACAGAGGTATTGTGGTCTGTCAAACTGATTGCATTCAATGAAGGTCCATGAGGAGTTTGATCGATCTATGTAGTTCATAGTGTCATTGGAAATAAGCCTCAATACATACCTGACATAGATATTAAAACACTGTGTACTGCTTGGAGGTTTGAGGAATATGCATTAAGTCTTTATTTATAACTCAGTGTACAGAAAGCAACAGAAACCGAAAGTAATTGGGATTTTTAAGCGGTTATTCCCCACTTTCTCATATGTGTACATTTTTCCAAGAAATCCCCCTTTTGTATTTGACAACAATGGGTAGTTAAAGTGAAAGTGCTGCTAAAAAAGAATGCCATTATTTTGTGTTTACAACTCATTAGAAGTGAAAGTGAAAGTGCTGTTGTGGGAATTCCCTGTCATTCCTTCATAGGCCTTTAAGCAGAAACCTCGGGATATTCCAGGAGAAATCAATCAAGTGTGATGAGTAAAATTCCTCTGTATCTCAATCTATCCCCCACCCAACACATTACAAGCACACCAACTACTAGTGGTATACACCATATGACCAGAGAAATCTGAATTGAATTGAGATAAATGGAATTTTCTCTCCACAGGCACAAAATGTCTAATGATGCATTTTAATAAAAACAATACAGTGTTATTAATGGAACCCCCCTCTTCTCTGCCCCCCCCCTCCCCCCGCCAACACCCCACACCCACCCACCCACCTTTCCGGAAAACAATGAACAAGTGTAGATTTACTGTTGCTATAGACATGGTGCACAGACAATACTTTTCTCTGTTTTGATTTTAAAAAATACTGTTTGATCTCCCTGCTTGTTGCAAACAATTATGTCTTTGCACGTGTTTTCCTGAATTTGTAGGGCAGTTATGCACACATTGCAATCATCCAACTTTTCCCAATATTTGAAAATATTCCGGGGGCTTTATCCTTTTCAGTCTTCAATACAAAATTGATTTTCCTGATACAAAATGGACTCACTTCATACAGAATTTCATATTGTATCACCAACAATGCATTTATTTTGAAAATAGATTTCATCGTTTTTGTTCATACTTATTGAATAATTACCGTATCATTTATGGTTCATTGCGATGCCCCCTTGACTGTGACTCAGATAGGTGTTGATTTTGCACTGAAGGTCATAAACTGGGACTCCGACACACTGATAAGATTACAGCTATGGGATATTGCAGGTAAAGTGTGCAACCAATAGGTAGTGATTACTGGAAATTTTCGAACCTCTTTACTGTTAAGATTTTTTATAGAGATTAATCATGTTCACATGCTCACAACAGTTGACTTGCCTGAAATGAAACTAGTTAACTTATAAATTGTTTTAAAGTCTGCATTTTTAAATATAACGTACAAAGCATTTAGGGGGTATTAATTTTTGCTGTTTGAATATATTGAGTAATTGTTGTAGTATGCACATACAAGCAGAGAACTCTTGGAGCAAGATATATATTTATATATAGTGCAATAGTGTAGCAACAAAGCGAATGAAAGGACGAATGAGTACTCAATGCATCTTGTTTTCCTCAGTTGTAGATAATTATACATTTATACATTTGAAAGTTATTACATAACTTCCAAACCCCATTTTACTCTCAGGTGAAAACTATAAAGATAAGATTCCTATTGCATATTATTACCAATGTATTTTACTAATTTATTTTGCCTAATGTATATAAGTACCAGACTTTCTTTTATTTTTTTAAAACAAATTATGTCTCTTTAGGTCAAGAAAGGTTTGGGAACATGACCAGGGTCTATTACAAAGAGGCTGTAGGATGTTTTATTGTATTTGACGTGACGAGAGCGTCAACGTTTGATGCTGTGCAGAAATGGAAGAACGACCTAGACAGTAAAGTACAACTTCCTGATGGTAGCAGTATACCATGTGTATTGTTAGCAAACAAGGTATATAACCAAATTAAGTTAACTTACCACTGAAGTAAAGGGCTTTATCCGAATTGGAGTTACCTAATTAGATATAAGTTCATAAAACTATGCAATCATGTAATGAGTACAATTTCAAATTGAATTTAATTACGGAGTACCAGGCTGGATTTTTAATTATTTTCAGTTTGAATTTTGATTATTTTGAATTTTATTTACATTTGAGAATGATCAATTTTATTGTGACACAACTTCTTTTATTTATTAATTAATTAATTTACTGATTAATTTATTTTGTCATTATGTATTTTAATGAATTTTTGAGATTAATGCATTGAATTGACCTGACCTCTGTTACAGTGTTACCAAGCCAAGGTGTATTTTTGAGCTTGATACATTGTATCTTTGACAGTGATACATTGCATCTTTGAGATTGATACATTGTATTTTTGAGACTGACACATTGTGTTATTGCATGCCCTCTGTTCCAGTGTGATCAAGCCAAGGAGTATTTTTTGAGATTGACACATTGTATTTTTGAGATTGATACATTGTATTATGACTTGCCCTCTGTTTCAGTGTGATCAAGCCAAGGAGTATTTTTTTAGATTGATATATTGATACATTGTATTTTTAGAATGACACATTGTATTTTTGAGATTGATACATTGTATTTTTGAGATTGATACATTGTATTATGACATGCCCTCTTTTCCAGTGTGATCAAGCCAAGGAGTATTTTTTTAGATTGATATATTGATACATTGTATTTTGAGAATGATACATTGTATTTTAGAGATTGATACATTGTATTATGACATGCCCTCTGTTTCAGTGTGATCAAGCCAAGGAGTATTTTTTTAGATTGATATATTGATACATTGTATTTTTAGAATGATACATTGTATTTTAGAGATTGATACATTGTATTATGACATGCCCTCTTTTCCAGTGTGATCAAGCCAAGGAGTATTTTTTTAGATTGATATATTGATACATTGTATTTTTAGAATGATACATTGTATTTTTGAGATTGATACATTGTATTATGACTTGCCCTCTTTTCCAGTGTGATCAAGCCAAGGAGGGTCTGGTCAACAATGCGGGTCAGATGGACGAGTACTGTAAAGATAAGGCGTTTGCTGGCTGGTTTGAGACTTCTGCTAAAGAGAATATCAACATTGATGAGGCAGCAAGGTTTTTGGTGACAAAGGTAATCCTTTTATACAATGCGTGTGTGTATATATGTGTGTATATATGCATATGTCTGTTTCATCCAGATAATGTACACTCAGGAATCATAAATCAAAGGGTTATATTGGCATTTTGAAGCCAGTCTTTAGCTCTTTCGTCTAACAACTTAAGTGAGTCCAACCTTGGGCAATGATGCAGCTGACAAGTCTCTACGATGTGGTTGGCTGTCTGTAGGGGGAGAGAGACACCTCCCCGTGGTGATCCCTGGAAACGCTCCAATGGCTAAGATCTCTCACACGTCATGATCATCCAAATGTGTGTGTGTGTGTAAGTTAAAGGGATAACAACTGTGCATCCCCCCCCTCCCCTAAAAAATTGAATATTTTCCTGGGGTAAGTGTCAATTTTCCATTACTGCCGATGGCTAATGAATCCATTCCAACAATAAGTTCCTGTTATTTTTTCTAAAAAAAAATTTTTTTTTTTTTTTTTGGTTTATTTTAATCTTTTAAGAGATTATTTGGGGGGAGGGGGGGGGGGGGGAGTAGACATCCCTGGAGGTCAAGTGGTCCAATACAGATTCCCCTTTCAGGATTTTACTGATTATCTAAGTACTTTTATCGATCAATTGATTTTGAAGACAGATATTTAGATGGTTTGTTCAGTGTATTGATTGATTTTGTGTCTTATAACTTTTGTACAGCAACAGCATTTTATTTGTTCATAATCGATTGATTGATTGATTTTGAAGATGGGACCCTCAAATAGTTAACTCGATGTATTGATTGATTTGATATCCAATCTTTTTTGTACAGCAGCAGCATTAAATACAAACAACCATTTCATTTTATCACCCCAAAATTGATGAACTGCTGTTAGAGCAATATTGCATATTATTTATAATTTTTTCTTTTACTACTTAAGATTCTAGCAAATGAGGAACATATGCAGACAAATGAAGATGGGCCAAAAGACTCTATCACAATAACAAGTAGTAGCTCTTCTATGCCTGGAGAAAAGAAAAGTTGTTGCTAGCAACAGAAAAGCTAGTCTTTATGCAAATATGTAATATGCTCATCAAGGGATGGAATTTTCAGTTTTGGCTAAATGATTTGAAAAAAGGAACACATGAACAATTTTTTGGATGATTTTTTTTCTGATGTAAATATTGTCAATATGTTTAAATCAAATGTCCACATGGACTAGTGAAAAATAGTCATGTTAATACTTGCAATTAATGATATTAGAACCGTGTGTAAGTGCCTAGCATTACTTGTAAAAAGAACTTGGATTGGTCAGTTAAAGAATTGTAAGGATGTTTGCACAAAATGTGATTAAAGCCAAGAATGGATAATTGTGTATTTATTTTCTAAAATGCCGAAGGATATCATGTTAACGTCCTGTATACAGGAATTAATTATACTTTGTCATGAATGCATACAAATATGATCATATTGGTATCATAATAAGTACCGTGTATGTTGTCAGTTTAGAATGACTGCGCGACCTTTTTGAATGGGGAATACAGGTAGGACTCAGCAGGTTTTCATATCAAATAATCTGTTAACATTTTACTATGTTCAGTGGGCTTGCTATTTATACTTAAAATATTTATCTCCTCTGAAAGAAATTAACAGGATACTTGTTGGAGTTTTATATACCCAACTTGAAATATAATAAATCTTTTGAAAATTGCTGAAAGTTTTGCAACAAAAACATTGAATTGTATAGCAATCTTGTTTTATCTTAAATTAAAAATCACTATTGTTAAGAGGTCATTTAGTATTGGTTCAAGTTAGCTAGTCGTCGGTTTTCTGTAGAGGTTTTTGAGTAGACTTGTTAGATGTTTACCGGTTATTCTCGCGATTGATCATAGCCCCCAAACTTAAGTATTGGATGGAAAATTCGCTGAATTCAAAATGTAATTTATTGTATTTGGACGTGCTTCAAAACAAAGTTTGAATATACTGTACAGGGTCAAGATCATTATGGTACAAGCACTGGAAATACGTTTGCCTTTGGATTTACATGTACAATTTCCTGTGCCTTTTCAAGTCTCGTATTAGTATTTATAAAGACATGAAAATAAGACTGCTTATCATGATAATGACGTTCTTAGATTACATCATATGTTATGATAGAAAATGTATATGTAAGTTGTAATTTTGTCATTTATATTATCACTGTAATGCTGCATATCATTCCACAATTTTTTTAAAACTTAAAGCTGTCGATATATGTAGGAAATGCACGAATGTCGGACAGGCTGGCATTTTTCATTGGCATCGAAACTGCGTGTACGGCGCGAAGTAATGTTGATAAAAGTTACTTTACCTATAATAGACTTCTACGATGTACCGGTAGATGAAAATAATTTTGGTTAATTTTGTATTTTTATTCAGGGATTTCATTTTTTTATATATATTTTCTGCCTTCTGATGTATTACTGAGTACGTACATGTACACAAACCGCAATAGGTTGGGATTTATATGGTATTCGTATTGAAAGGCTAGTGATCTCAAAGTTTGATTTTTGTCACGCGGTGGATATTTGTTAGGTTCCTAATCTAAAATATGATATCTTAACTAGTATGGTTACATATTGATGTAACGACGACATCCGGGACATCTAGCTGTGACCTAAATACTGAATGACGTCACATAAGCGAGACCACTGGCACGTAATCATTCCCACTATACCAGTTTAACTTCACTGTGAGGTTTAACATTACTAAATGGAGCGGAATGGTTGACTCTGAATACCCGTACTTAAAGTACTGAAATGATTAGGGGGATAATACAAATAAAGGTGTTAAAGTCATAGAGTAAAGGTGGCAGTTCATGTTGATGGTATTATGGATTATGTATTAAAATTGATGTTTTGTAAATAAATATAATTTACATAACTGCTGAATAATTTGATTTTTTTAATCATTCCCCTCAGCCACATCTGTCGTCTGTTAGGCGATGCACCCGTTCCGTTCAGTTTGTTGACTGCCAAACTCTATCTAGTGATTTATTGGCTGGAATTTACAGTGAATTTGTAATAAAATGGCTTTATATTTAATTACCAGTAGTACCGCCAGCGTGCACGCTGGCGGTACTCATGTTTTTAGTCCCGACCCGTCTCGTACGGCTCCGTCAGTTCTGCAGGGTGTCGTTGGATACGTTACCGCTACCGCTTCTCTAGACCGCAAGGAACTGTCCCCATCTCTTGGATGTAGGTCACATATAATATCAACTTGAACCCCCTGGTATTTTTGTCTCAGTCGGTGCATTGGGCTGGGCGTGACGCTCGTTGAAGCGCACCCTTGTCAAAATTTTTGAAAATTCAATGCTAAATATCTAAATGTTAATGCTTAAGGAATTATGGGAAAAATTACTACAGAAGTCTGACGAAAGTCATATATGTGGAGATTCCAAATATGCCCTATGATTTGACTTTCGACTATTTTTCAAGGTCAAACGGGCCAAAATTTCCTGCCAAAAATATTTGTTTGTACCATAGTGAGGGTTACAATCAGGGACTCCTTTCATCTCTGGGAGTTTGGGGTCAATCGGTGAATTTTCATGGGAGAAGCAGCCATTAGATACCAAAACCAAAAACTCTCTCTAATTCAGGAACCGTAAATGCTAGAGACCTTTTGTTTTTGTATTTTGCAGAACATGTCAAGCACAATACTGGAAGTGTCCATTTTTTTATGTTTACGATATGGTTTAGGCGTTGTGCTATGTAAAAAAGTACAAGGTCACAATATTCAGTGGTGATAATAAAATGTGAATTACTCCAAAATTAGCAGAGATACGCCCATAGTTACTATTGAACTTGAATAGGAAGTCATATACTGGTAATCTAACTGTGACCTTAAAATTGACATTAGACCTACTTTTCATTATGAACTGCACTTTGCAAGTTTTCTGATCTTTATATCTCCAAAACTGGCAAAGACACACCCATAGTTACTATTGAACTTGCAATCTAACTGTGACCCTGAAATTGACCTTTGACCTAATTTTCACCATGAACTGAACTTTGCAAGTTTCTATCCCTTATACTAGTATCTCGAAAACTAGCAGAAATACGCCCGAAATTAATGTTAAACTTGAATAGGAAGTCATACTGGCAATCTGTGACCTTGAAATTGACATTTGACCTACTTTTTATGATGAACTGCACTAAGCATGTTTTCTGGCATTTATATCTCCAAAATTTGCAGAGAAATGTCTATGGTTACTATTGAACTTGAATAGGAAGTCATAAACTGTAATCTTGAAATTGACCTTTGACCTACTTTTTCACCATGAACTGAAATTTGCATATTTTCTTGCCCCTCATATCTTCAAAACTAGCAAAGATATGCCCAGTGTTGCCCCTAGGTTTTCTCTTTTGTCAGCATATATGCAACACTGATAACACATTTCAAGGAAAACCAATAGGCCTATTGTCTAGAAAATCACTGGAGTGATCAATGTTAGGAAAATACAGGTCAATTCGAAAATCTGCCTAATATTGAAGCATATTTATTTATTATTACTTTATTTTATTTATTTATTTATTATTATTATTTTATTTTATTTTATTTTATTTTATTTTATTTATTTATTTATTTATTTATTGCATATTTTGAGGACTCTTGTTGATTGCATTTTATACAGCTTGTCAAGCACAAGACTGGTGGTGATGTCCCTTTTTTTTTGGGTTTTCCATACGAATGCGCTTACTCCAGCTGGTGGTACAATATCCGGAGGCGGTATCGCCTCTCTGATCCTCTAGTTGATAAACTAATTAACTTAGATGAATGATATCGCGTGGAGACGACGTGGCTAAGGGACCTTTGATTATCGTTTAAAGAAAGAACAAAAGGTGTAATGTCCCAATGTTTCTCCCGGGCCAATATTTCGCCGATATTTTTTATAGCTTTCATGTGTTTGATTTTATTTACTCTTCTTGTGCAAAATGGTAAGAATCATAGCAATATTTTAGTAAAGCGTGATTCCAAAGCTGGACGTCGTCTTGCCCATGCAAAAACGCCAGGCCATGTGAACGATAATTGTCCTCGCCGCGCCAAATGCGCAAATTAACGGCCCAAACCACAAATCGAGTACCCCAACGTAAAATTACTTTACATAAGCCAAGGATTTAATTACAGGAACAATTTTGCCAGTTTCCATCCGGGTCTCTGGCTGTGATCAAAGAACCCCTGAGGTTTTTCCTTTTTTTTTTTTTCTTTTACGGCAGCAATGCGTTCTCGACAATCTCCCGTTCTTATAGAACGCTCCGAACGGATAAACGGTTTGTTTAACAAAAAACACTGAGTTTGTCTAAAATTAATTAAAATTTGGGGTACTTTATTTGTGTCGAACGTGCTCAGTTTCAGAATAAATATACATATATGTACAATTTGGTGAACAATTTTAATAATGTCAGTTTTTAATAAGTAAATTTTCAAATCAATTACACAATTCAAATTACTGTTTTTCTTTTATCAAGAGCTTGTAAAATATGTGGGTATTACCTCCAATATTTTACAAGCTCTTGATAAAAAGAAAAACAGTAATTTGAATTTATACATACAGAGCTAATGAAACTGTTCTCTCAATTACACAATTGTTTAGTGTAAAAATGTATGGGAATGACGTACTAGTATTTTACACTACTTGTATTTCGTACTTTTTGACCTCGGAATCAAATTATTTTTTGTTTGGTTTTTTATTTTGTCGTTGATCTGTCCAATAACGTAACCGTTTTACTTTTTTGTTAATGCTTAAGAAATCGTATAAGTGAACTGAATTGTTCTGAGGAGTTTATTATTTAGAAGTTGTCATGGAGTGGTTGCACATAAAACAAAGACGTACAAAAAGCACTGTGGCTCTCTTAATAATTACGTTACAGCCCATAATAAAACAAAATGAAAAAACCTTATAAAATATCTACAAGTATACCATAAAATAGCAATTGTCTAATTTGAAAACGTTTCTTCTCATTGTCATTAAGAAGTATAATTTGAGCCGACAAATTCATGTAACTATGTTAATCCATCATGGACCTTGGAGATTTACCCATTTTCGAACCTTTGTTCCTGCATTTCTTTCCTTTAGAAGAAAGTGTTCGAGCCTCGTCAGCTTCTTTACCCACTCTCACTATGGCCGGAAGTACCTCGGTCGCAAACAGATACTGGCGCTCCCTATCGAATGTTTCCACGGTGGTGGGCGTGTCCAGGTTGATGAATTGTCTGGAAGACCCTGTGTATTCCGGCCATTGGAGGCTGACCGGGTCACCTACATTTGGGTCACTGAAAAGACGAGGGAGTTGACTGATTAGCAAAACAATGAAATACCATATTGAGCATACAGGAAAGGACAACCTGACTTCGTAGTCAAGTCATACTTGGCATGGATCCTTTGTAGAGGGATATATTTCATACTAATTTAAGTACAGCTGATGGTCATTAGGACCATTAAAACTTAATGGTCATCAAATACACACAGTGGACAATAGAAGTGTCACCCTACTGAATCAATACTTAGGGGGAGATAAATGACTGTGGAATGATATGCTCCTGATATCATTTTATTAACATCAAATTTCACAAAAAGACCAACAATACAATTCCATGGTCCAGCGGTTTTATACTCATTAGTCACATTATAAGTAGACTTTGATTACTGACCCTTACCCATTTTTTACAAAGTTAGCTATATACCGCCTGATGGTTCTTCCAAGTTCCAATTCCTCAGCTGTCAAGTTATATACCTCTGGGTGCTGTTCAAACACACCAAAATACAGAATGCGGGTATCAAAATGTTCAGCTCGTACAAAAGTCGCTTTAGGTAAGTAAGAAGGTGGATAGCCAAGACGAATAGATAATGTGTATTTATACGTTGTGGCACCTCCAGCTTCGTTCAGTCTCGCCGACTCCTCTGCTGGCATTCCATAGAGAAGATCAGTGCTCTGTTGCACGGCCCGGGTAAGGACATCCAAAGGATCCATGGGGTCTTCGATGAGACCGTATTCGTGAAGCAAGGACCTAGCAACAGCGG